TTTTTCTTCCCTCGTTAAACACGGTTAAACAAACTGAGAACTCGAGAAGCAAGGAACCAACGAAGGAGATTTTTTCGTCAAGGTTCGTTCGACCAGCTTTCGAGGAAATTACCTCTTCCCGGTAATGATTTCGAAGGAATGTTTTGTTAAGACTCGATCTGTTATCCTCTCGCGAGCAGCGCAGCGAGAGCTCTTGGACGTTTCGATTAAATAGCTGGCATACCGACGAGGTTTCGTCCTTTTTTTTTTTTTTTTTTTTTTTTTTTTTTTTTTTTTTTCTTTCCTTTCATTCGAAAGAGCAGATCTTGGACGAGATGAACGAGACTTTTCCAAGGGTTCAGTCATACGCGGTGCTGACCGGTTCGCTTCTCGAGGCTAATACCTTCCGATTGACTACGCTCATCCCTTAATGAAATTCTTTCTACCCGGGCGCGACCCATTGGCTGGCTTTGCCGTCGAATTTTCTCATTATTACCGGTCCCTCGTCCGTTCTACGTCTTTCCGTCACTGCTATTCTTAGTCGAGCAGCCGCTCGATAAATTCGATCGTTCGGCCCCGCGTAAATTGAACTTATCTGCAATACGCAACTTGTATGCATACCGAACGACAACGTGTTCAGTCAACGGTGTCTTGGAAACCACGGTTCTGGTGCAGCGCGAGGCGCATTGAGCAATCTCGCAGCATGCATTAAAATTAGCCACAATCGGAACGCACGATCGCTCCAACAGATTATAATAGTATATTAATTTATTGATTATCGACTGGCCGCGATGCAATGCGGTATTCATAGAATTTACTATCAGTCCCGGGGATACTGAATGCATGCATTAAGCTCGGCGAGTCGTTGATTTTACCGCGATCATCGAAGACGGACGAATTACATATTTCGTTCTTACTGGGAGAGCAAGTCGCGAGAGAACTATTCGAACGAGCGAAAGAAGAACGATTTCGAATTGGATTCGCTTTCGACGAGCGTGCTCGATACGTGTGCATAGAGACACCTGATCATAGAGAAAAAGGGAGAGAAAAAGGAAAAAGGGAGAAGAGAAAGGAAAAGAGAGAAAAAGAAGGGAAAGAAACGGGGAGAGGAAAAAAGGGACGAAAGTCAAAGGGCGATCGATCGTGACTAATTTGCGAATAAAAGATTATGAAAATGCTGCCGTGCCTGGAGATCGGAATCGTAGTCGATCCAGTAGGATTTCGGCGAGGCATCGGTCGAAGGGTAGAAACAGATACTCACCCGTATGCAGGCGGGTATGTTGCTGTACATGACTGAGCTGCTTGAACCTGCGGTCGCAATAGCTGCATTTGTACGGTTTCTCGCCAGTATGGACCCTGATGTGCTGTACGAGCTGGTGGTTGCTGGAGAATGACTTGAGGCATTGCTGGCACTGGTGTGGCTTTACCTCGTTGCCGGCGATCATGCCGCCCGGTCCGAC